AGGAAAGAGAGAGAGGGGAAGAGTAAAGGAGAGAGAGATATATAGACAAAGGAGGGCAGCATTGGGGGCCAAGACATCTGCTCAGGTAAATAATGATGATGCTGCGGGAGAGGAAAGGAATAAGATATGGAGGTCACGTTTGCTAGCTTGGAGTCTCCATCTGTCCCCTGGGGTTAGTGAGGTGAGCCAGGGATGACGGTGGGCCCGGGAGAGAGGGGTTGGCAGGTTGTGGGGAGGGCTGCAGCAGACTTGGGGACGCTGTTTGCCAGCTCCATTTTTATCCCAGAGGCCAAGCAAACAGTAAATGAGGTGTGCTTGATATAAATGCAGTCTATCGGCTCAGCAATCCGCAGACCCTTCGACACGCGAAAGTTGAGGTTGGGATCAGGTGTAGTTTGTATCGATTTGCCCTCCGAGGTGAACTGTGCAATACAGCATCTTAAAGAGGATCATGTCCGTGTGTGTGTGTTGTGATCGAGGAGAGACATTTAGGACTTTCATCCTCTCTTTCATGTCGGCACATTTCCTGAGAGAAAGGGCCAAGTGACACTTAAGACCTTTAAAATACACTCAGAGCTGGTCTCTAAAAGCATTAAAAGCATGTTAAAGCATAAAAGCTGGACACAAAAAGAGGAAAGATTGCAGGATGTGTTACAGCAAACATCCAACAAATTAGATACCATATAAATCAATTACAGGGCATGATGATGATCTAATGTCACATATTACACGTCTTCACAGGTCTTGAAATCAATTGCACTCTATTTACATGACTGATCCCAACTGCACTCAATAGTCATTGACAAAAACATTTTTTTACACTTTAAACAGAGAAAAAGAATAAACTTGCCTGGCTTCACATAAATTATTGCGCCACAGAAACAGTTTGTCTACATATCAGAGCATTCTAAGTCTACAATTAGAGACCAATATGGATTTTAGGGGGTCAAACATGATATAGATATAAGGAAGTAAAAAANAGCGTTTAAAAGTAGAGCCCAGCCGATATGAATTTCTGAAGGCACACATGAGGAAGTCATAAATATTTAAAAATTGGCAGTGATTCCTAAGATGTTTTTAGATTTAGATTTGTTTTAGATTATCAGACATTTTAGGAAAGAAATATAATTGAGGAAACACTAATGCAAGTAAAGAACCTGAATGAACAAAATAAACGTAATATTTTTACGGAAAATGTAAAAAATTGCAGAGAATTTCTGCATCGTTTTCGAATTGGCTACTCACTTCCATCTCACAACACAAACAAAAACATATCTTCCTTTCCTTTATGTGTGTCAGCTTCCATGTTAACATGTACTGTATGTGCATTCACAAACATTACTGTCACACAATACTCTGCAAGTGTTTACTCTCTCTCTCCTCTGTAATTTTTTTGTCACCGAGCTGGACTAAGCCTCTGACACAGAAAATAACGGCTCTGTTCGCTTCTCTGTCTGAAACACAAGGTGACGACCTCCCACCAGAATTTAAAGTGTATCTTTTTGCTCTTTAAATGCTTGGGGAAGAATCACAAAAAAAGGCGAGGGGGGTTCAGGAGCCTGTGCTATTGATTCAATTTCTATGACCACAAATACTTTAAAGCATAATAAGCCTATGCTTCAAGTCCCCATACCCTTTCAAGGCTTGAAATGGCCTTGTCGCTACCTACAAATCACAGTTCTCCGCAAAGCTGCCCTCTCTGGAGTGATGTCAGTGACCACAGGGGAGGTGAAAAAACAGAAGGCAAGAGACATAAGCTAGCCTCTGAAAAATGTAATGGTTTCTGTTGAGGATTTAGCCAGTGGTACGGCAGTGTGGAAGTATCACTCATGCTCCAGACATAGTAGATCCTCTGGGGAGATGGCGAATATTAAAGGGTTTATAGGAGCCTTCTTGTGAAGGCTCTTGACAGGAGATTTGTTTATGACCTTCAAAAAGGGAGGAGGAAGTCAATAATAGGCCTGACTCCCTCTTTTGCATCTCAAGGCAGTCCCTGCCATAGAAAAAAGAGAGCCTGCAGTTTCAATTCATCACAACTGTGCAGCTTTTCCACTTCTTTTAATCACGTCGGACCAGTCCTTTTAAATGCAGTGATAAGGCAATAGCTGTTGCAAAAAAACTTAGTGGATCAGAGAGGAAGACCTAGTTACAGTAAACTGTGTCCATGATTGGACAGTCAACAGTTTAGAAGTAAGGAAGATATGGAAGTCTGAGTGCAAGGAACTGCTGACAGAAAATATTAAACTGACAATTTCCTCAAATTCATTCATTAAATGATTGCTGACCACAGATGCATCAACTTCAGATGTTCTCGCTTTACCAAGACCCAAACCAAAGCTGTCAACATAATCAACATCAAAACAAGATGAAGGGATCAAAGTCAAAGATATTCTGGGGACTTCCTAAATACATACAATATTTCACTATATCCCTGACCAAAAAATACAGACAATGACATGTTGTCAAATTTGCACATATGCCTTTAGAAATGCTACAAAAATAAAAATGTCTTGTATTGAAAGCCAGCCATCTTCATATCCAACAGTACAGAAGGACATTCTAAAGAAGAGCTTGGTGTTTGTACTCTAAAAATAGGTCGGGGATAATTGCCTGAGAGTAAAAGAAAACCTCAACCTGTCAATTTATGAAATATGACATGCTTTATTCCTCCAAAAGTAAAAGTGCCAAGTGAGAATCACAAGGTAGATGAGGCAGCGTTGCATACTGTATTCCTTATATATGATACTGCTTTCTACTAAAACAGAGCAAATCGCAACATCTTCTCCTCATATAAACTGAAGCATGGAAGTCTTTCTGAAGACAAAAACCTGGATTCTGAAAACTTAACTGTTCAGTGCAGTAAGGTCAGATGAACAAGGACTTCAACTTGTAAGATACAATATCGACCATAGACTATAATTACCTCCGCCAAGGAGAGTTCAGGAAGAACCCATGATATCAGGTGTGGATCCTGATCAGGAAATGCAGGGACTTTTTTTCCACTTTAAAATTGCAAAATATGGCGTTTTCAACATTTTGATTGATTTATCAGAGAAAAAGTCATGGATCTTGAATTTAAAAAACAGACCTATTTAGAGAAATTACATCTATTAGTGAGTGAAATTTATTACAGATCCATATAAAGATCTGGTGAATTTATTCATGTGGTTTCATAAGGGGACAGTTGGGCCTTAGTGGAGGAATGTGCTCCACTGAGTGCCATATGTTTGTCAAAGAAAGGATGCCTGAGTACATTAGTTACTGGAGGGCTTTTTTTCACAGAAGCAGGGGGCTGTAACCAACTAAGAACTTTGTCAGACTAATCAGAATTGGCTGTGCAATATGAATATTCAATAATTTAAGTCAATTTTTTTTTTTTGATTGATGCAATCATGAAAAGTGAATCCATCTCTCAGCCCCGCAGATCCACAAAAATATGGACCACAGTGACAAAACACAGTTGTCACTCATCTTGATCCTATAAAATCTACAGATGCAGATGATCTGCCCCGGATGAAACTTTTCCAGAGTTCTAGTAAATAGTAATTTTTTTTGGCCACACAAAAGCAAGTTTTATTGACGAATATACAGTTCAATAAAGACTAATATCTCCTGCTATACAAACCTTCAGTATTACACTTGCCTGATCTGTCTTCATAATTAAGAGGATGAGGATCTGACTTGACTTTATCTGAAAATTAGTCTACGCTTTCAACAGTTTAACTCTGATTAAATAACGACCCTATAGCAGTTTGTGCAAGCAGCTCGATACAACCCATGGTCGCAGTTTATTGTCAGTTGACCTCTAGCAGTCATGGTATTAATGACTGGAGCAAAGCAGGAATGTAGATAATGTAGTACTGAAGGAGGTTGGGATGGATGGGTGGACAAAGCACGTGAGATACACACTGGAGATTTTTGTTTCCTGTGAGAAACCGATGTCAATGTTGTTACCCAAGATTGTTCGACATCCTTAACCACTGTAAACTGTGACGACAGAGGTACGTATTGTAACCCAACCCATGTCACGTCACTAAACCCAACCAAACCGTAACCAAAGAAATACAACATCCAAGGATGGATGGATTGTTCTTATAGGAAACACAAAAGCTGTGGTGGCTAGGCACCACTAAAAGAAAATGCTGCAAATGCTAAAATAGATAAATACTCAAGTTGTGTTCTGCATACAGTATCAACTACCCCATAAACATTCTAGTCTATAAAACACTCCCCTTTATGTGGTCTCTCCAAGATTTCTCTAATTTCAAATCATTGTATTGGTATTTAACCAAACTCACGTGACGTCGCTAAACCTGAACAAACCGTAACCAAAGAAATACAACATGTAAGTAATCACAGTCCTGGATGGTTCTATGTGTCTCTGAGCACCACAAGAAGCACCTGGACAGAAGTGCAGAATAGTTTTTACAGGAAACACAAAAGCTCTGGTGACAAACAGAAAGAAAACAATAAAGAGATGAATACTCCAGTTGTGTTCTGCATACAATGCCAACTCCCCCACAAACATGCTGCTATAGAACACCCCCCACCCCCTCATGTGTATGTGTCTCACCAAGATGTCACGTGTGTAAGGACATTAGCATTTTTCTTTGAATTCCATGGTGTGGAATCATTGGGTTACAGCCCTGGAATGTGTGCTAGTGTCATTTCAGCCCATTGAACGTGTTTAACTGTAGAGTTGTTTCATTGTAGAGTCCTGAAAACCTCTGTACTTGTGTGAGTTTGAGTTTGAGGAAACATGTTCAGGCATCTTGTATTTGCTTGTTTTTCCCACAGCCTCTAAACCTCACATGGTTGTTCATGGTTGTTGCTGTGTGTCAGTGAATGACATCACAGCTCCGTGTACAGTTTGAGCTCAGGTTGAATGTCACGTTATATCTGTCAAGCCGTAAACCGATGTCCCAGGTAGCTAGCTACGCGGTGCTAGCCCAGGCTAACGTCTGACGCGTTAGTGGACGACGTCCAACAGCCGGACTCACCACGGAGTTCTTCATCGTGGCCTTCACGGTGAAGCCTCGTGTTTTCAGCTGCGTCTTGTCCCTCGACATGTCCTCAGGTGTCTTCTTCCAGTCCAGCTCAAACCGAGCGGCCACGTTGCTTCTCAACAAGTGTTTGTGTTTGTGTTCGCTCTCTAAACGTGACGACTGTTGTGGGGTCCTTTTTTTTTTGGCCGTGGTTGCTATGCAACATCAGGGACGCTGTGGTCTGGTTGCTGCGGAGACGTGTGTGCGTGTGTGTGTGCGTGTGTGTGTGTGTGTGTGTGTGTGTCCTAATCACCATGGAAACCGCAGGACACTGCTGAAAATATGCAGAGAGGTATCGAGTGGTTTGAGTGTTGTTCTTTTTATTCATTATCATAAAGAGAGTAATATTATTTAAGAATATCTATTTTAAGATTTCCTTTTTTGCCATAATCAAAAACCTATGAATACTTATATATACCTATAGTCATATTATTATAATTAATAGCAAATGTATGTGTGTACTTTTGATATTATTTGCTTTAGTTAAAAACATATACATACACATATATACATATTATGTACATATATAAAGAGAGAGATATTAATATAACATATATGGTGCTATGGTATTTTGATTTTGTACTTTAAATTTGCTTTGTGTTTATAATTATAAAGTAGTATTGCAATTACTATAAACATAAAAAATTGTTATTATATATATATATATATCAATCTATTAAATTATACATATTAAATCAAATTTTTATAAATATTGTAATTTTGCAGCAAAACAGTCAATGATATAAACTCTTCTTACTAATCTTCTGAATCATCATAAGGTTCAGGTGTTTCACTTGTGTGCAGCTGTACGACGGTACAGCAGGTCAAAGGATTCGTATTTCACCTTATTCTGTTGTTCGATGACACTAATGGGACAAAAAAATAGTGCTCTGTGCTTCTGCCAGCTGGTCACAACTAATGGGGGACAGACAGTGAAAAGATAACCCAACCTCACACTGGATGACCTGACTTTTCCTCTGCTCCTGCCACAGTTACAGGCCACCAGCACACTTCGGTCTGAGACACACAGGATTGATCACACGCACAGCTCATCCTTACACACACACAGCATTTCTTCATCCACAAGCAAATGCTTAATGATGCTCTTTGTGTGGCAGGTAGACCACGGCCTCGACTCTCAATAAGCTGGTTAGAGAGGGGCCCGGGCACTGAATCATTCCAATTTAGGGATGTGGTACTTTTAATCTTCCAATATCGTTTTTGCCCCTGGAGAGTTTCTTGGGTGAACTGGTGCAACTGTTATTAATCTTCAGTGCACAGGCAATTTCTCTAAAAGCCCCTATTTGTTTTTTATGGCTCCATTGAGAGAGGAGGGTGTAGCAGCGGGGAGGGAGACTGTAAACAAGGTATGCAGGGAGAGCAAGTTATGTTCCCGTCAGCATTCGACGCTGGTCTCTCCCCCTCTCCCTCTCTCGGCCTCCCCTTGGAGGATTAAAAAGAGGAAGAGGGGAGTTTTCAGAAAGCAAACCGGAGCGTCAGCATGAATTCAGCTGGACTGAGAAATGATTGTTCAAACAGCACTGTGCTATCTCGCTGCTGTGCGTGCGCGAAGCTGGTTCTCGTGAATCATGGAAGCAAACCTTGCAAAAGTGATGCATGAAATATGAAATATATGTCGTTGGTTTTGCCGATTTCTTGAGGATTTTGAGTTCATGTGTGACCATGCATGTTGGTAGGTATATTCTGAATATATCTTTGTCAGGTTAGCGGTATCGTGGGTCAAGTTAATATCTATTTCTTCCAGTTGCTTAAAGGACACATACATTCTGTCCAAACTGACTTTGACCGTGAAGATTAACCTGCACTTTCTGCCACTAATGATGTCTCATGTATAACCATGTGGTTCGGCAGGTACGGAAAGAACAAGGGAGGAAAATATGATTCGAAAAAGGAAGCCACAATACAAACATTACTTTGTAGACCACACTTTGAGGAATATGTCAATTTTTTTGTTACATCCACACTGTGTCTTCATCATCATACTGTGCTTGGTTTGATCTACAGCTCATTTTCTGGGCCACCTTCAAGCTCGGCAACCATTGTCCACTGTGAGGGAAAACAGCAATTATGACATCATTAGAGCAGGAACTGGTACCTACAAAGCAGAGGACCCAGAGGGGACTAGTAGAAGAATCTCAGCAGGAAAAAGGATTGCAGAGACTTTGCCGCAGAGTCAGTTTCCCCCCCAATTACCATGAAACAAGACAAACAGTCATTAGAGTCGGCCATTAGGCTGTAGGAAGAGCGGCTGGGGGCTTGTTCGGTTTAACAGTACGTCAGGTTGTGAAAGTTACACAAAAATGTACAAGGTCTCTGTGATGAATGTTATCCAATGCAAAGGCAAATCGGGATTCTTGTATGTGCGGTTGCGAACAATATTACAAATTCTCTTGACTATTAATTCCAACTGAAAAGATGTGGCCGAAAATACATTGAGTGTCCTGTGGAGAAAATGCAGCAGAGGTGTTTAAATACTGAGAAACCAATAAAGTACAATTAAGTCCCAGTAACAACACTACTGAGTCTTATAGATACAATAGAATAATTTGATTGCCAAGAGGAACACTGATCTGAATACATCACATGTGCTACAGTTCATCACAATTGCTTGATTATTTTTCTGTTAATTGTATATATTTATATCTGGGGGTCACAAGACTGTTTATATGATGCATATTTCAATAAAGAAAAGGAACATATGTGTTTTTCAATTTGTTTAGTTTTTAAAAACAGTTTGGCTTTAAAACATGACAATGTCTGGAATTTCCCTCTCTGGTTGACTCCTCCAGGATCCAGTTAGGGTCATTATAAAGTTGGTATTTGTAAACCAGCATGTGTCAACCTGTAAAATAAATGTGCAGAAATTAAAATTTGTAGAGACGATATGTATTTCTAAAAAAAATACAAATCTAGATCATCCTTTTTCGCAGATGTATTTTTACAGATAAAAATCTTCTCTACCTTTGCAAACTTTAACTCCTCATGATTCACAGGTTTACAAAGGTTTTTCTGAACCAGAAACGTTTTATTTGCGAGCATCACTTTAAAAGCTCAAAACCTTTCACCCTCACTCGAGTCCATATAAACAGTTACCTAATGCAACACTGAATAACTGCCTTTGTTTCTGCCTTTGACTGCTGAACGTTCACGTACAGATCCTCTCCAAAATCAGCAACCATCTTTCATATACATGAGGAATGTGATTATAGATTATTTGGCAGCAGATTGATACATTTACCTGCAGGTTTCTCTCAACATGCAGCGCCGCTGTTTCCCTGCCGTCTGTCCGGTGAATCCTGGAATAAGCTCCAGCCCGTGACCCTGAACTGGAAGAATATGAAATATGATTGATTGAATGAATAAATAAGCATTTCTCTGGACCAATATTAATCACTTGAAGGTATCCTGTCCAAAAAGCCACATGGCACATTGAGGTATTCCACAATCAACCTGGACTAAATTCTTGTAAATTGTCCTTAAACTGCTTGTGGAGATTGTTAGATGTTGGAGAAGCAGATTGAACTGATTATGACAGTTCCCACTGCCGGGCTTCCTTTATGTGTTCCTCCTTTAAAGCAACACTATGTAACTTTCACTGAGCAACAGCGCCCTCTGATGCCACATGTGGTGATTAATTCTCTCAGGCTCCGTGTCCGAGTGATTAATAGGTTTTTTTTGAGAAAAAACAAAGCCATCATTCTGTGCTCTGACTGTGTAGTGCCACTCACTGAACTGAAACCCAACTGAATATTGGATATTACCCATGATCCCCAGCTTCCTGAACCGGAAGATCTGCTGCTGTAACATCAATACAGAATTCTTGATACTTTAAAAGTTTTCTTGCGGAGTATTGGAGATAACTCTGGTTTTTATTGATAGTTTTGAACCTGCTGGTCCTGATTCGGTTGACTTAAGTTGTGACTATGAGTCAGCTACACACTTCTCACAGGAGATCCTACACACCAGAGTTACGCTGAGACGCTCAGTGCAATTTTTTCTGCTGCTATATTTAGGTGAAAGTAGCTTAGTGTTGCTTTAAATTACGAATGTTTCCTGCTAGAATGGCACTCAGAGAGTGTATACCTCCACCGAGGCACAGCCGCCTCCTTAAATTCAATCAAGCTTCTCCAAATTGCACACACTAATATCGGTCCACTTAACATTTCAGATTTTGTTAAGATCCATGAATTATTCTGTGAGAAAGAAAATGTTGGAAAACATCCTGTCTTACAATGCAAAAGAAAGTGATACAAATGTCTGTTTCCCCCCGTTACAGGTCCGCACCAAAATATAATTCCCAGACCCATCCTACATTCTTGCATCAAGTTTCATGTAATCCGTCCAGTAGTTTTTGTGTTATCTTGCTAACAAACTAACAAACAAACATGCAGACGAAATCTTAACCTCCTTGGTGGAGGTTATTAATACATCAGTAACACCCTGAAGATAAAGTTTGGAGATAAAAGAAGTGAATTATTGCTGAAATGGCCCATTAGTGTTAATCTTTATCATCCAACACTGTCATAAAAACAGCAAATGGCAGATATAGCCCAAACATAGCACCACTTGCCTCGTGTGTTTCCCCTCCCCAAACAATAGCGGTTCAGATATCCAGACTGTAGTCGTCTTTCCCCAGAGCCCTGATGAAATCCAAAGGCATAGATCCCTTCAAACGGCAGGGCAGTTGGCGGCAATACTTGATATGGGCACAGAGTTGCAGGGCCTCACTCACAAAGCCGCAGCGTATTGATCTTCATGCATTATAGAAGCAGCTTTGAGGCCAGCTGATATTAGAAGGCATAGCTTGCACTCCCAGTGAGCATACACTCTAACATGCCCACTGGACCATAGCAGCAGTAATCAGACACAGGTCCAGATGATAAACATATGGATGATACATCTATTATGTTATCGCAGCACTCTGGTTGATAATTGTTTACATGATTACGTTTGTTATAGATAATACACTTTTATTTGGCCTCTTAAAATTCATGGGTGGCGCGTGTCTCATTCTGTCAGAGGCTGAGTGTCTTTAATCTTAAATACTTCACAGGCCATTGTGTCACTTTGGGCTGTCAGGCTTTTTCAGCCTGTATCATCAAAGTAGATCCACTGCACGCTGCTCGTCTGACTGTGTGACCCCACTGCTGATGCTTTCAGCAGCCCAGGCAACACCTAACCCTCCAGAGAATTCAGCTTTCCTGTCACCCACAGGTCAATGTCACGTCAACCTGAATGTGAGAACAGTGACACCAGTGATCCCACTGGAGCTTATACAAAAGGTGGCTTCTCTGCACATGGAACCAGTGCGGACATGTTGTTAGGGTTAGAGAGAAGCAGAGGAGAGGAAAGAGAAGAAGGTGAGAGTGTGGGGATAATGGCATTTTAAAATGTGTATCTGCTGAACAGAGGCCTATTGAAAAGATCAGGTTTTTACATGGTGGTTAATACTATCAATTCGGTAAAGGCAAAAAAGGGAGAGCTTTTGCGCTTCTAGTTTGTCCTATAATAGTATAATGGTGTGTGTGTGTGTGTGTGTGTGTGTGTGTGTGTGTGGCTGAGCTCTTTGAAAACACTAACTTATACAGTCAGGCAATGCCTCAGGATTCAGGAACACTGATTTTCTTGCTAAAAATAATAAGAATCAAATTTTCTGTGTTTTATTGTACTTTCAATATTCATTGGTTGGTGCTTTGACCCCCTGTTCCTTTTGTGCAGTTGACAAAGTGTCCTTTAGCAAATGCAATATAATGCTTTTACAATTGAAACACATTGATTTCACTGAGGCTTTTAAAATGTAGCCCAGGAGTAACCTGAAAGGTCATTGATTTATTGTTTTATTACGATCTGATCAAACTCCAGGACCGAGACAGTGGACATTTACATTCTTTTGGCCTCCAGCTGAATGGGAGTCAAACCAGTGCCCACGTGGTATCGGCCATAAACGCTAGGCCCACTTAAAACATACGGAAATGTTGCAGTGACTGGGGCTCTCCGTGGTTTGTAGGAAGACTGTGGAATGAAGAGATCACACATATATCATGGTTTCAGAAAAATATTCTTTATTGTGTGTAAAATTAAATTTGCTTTAGCAGATTGTGAATTTAATCCACATGTTGATAAACTAAAACAAGAACAAGAAGAAGAGATTTTAGTTGTTGACAAAAAACTTTTAGATAAGAATCTAAAAAACGTTTCCACTCATAAATTACATTTTTAAATCCATCCGCATTAGTCTAAGTGTGTGTATGTACAGTGTGTGAATGTTTCTGTTTTACATGTTTGTTTGTTTTATCAACCTATTCCAATGCATTTGCCTCTTGTTCACACACACAACAACAAAGATAAACAGAATATGCCTGCAGCGACAAACTGTGTATGGCAGGGCAAATGCAATTTTCTTTCATTTGAGTGAAGAAAAAAAACAGCGTGCCTCTCATTCACCTGACTGATGCTTCTCTGCTCTGTGTATAAAACATTCAAATAGAGAGAGACAGGCATTTATAAAGCCGATATATTTCAAAGCACATTCCCCTAAGTAAAGCTTATACTGGGGATCCTATCACATATGGGCAGATGGAGGTAGGGAGTGGGGGACAAGAGGAGTTTTTTTTTTTTTTCCCCGGGAACTGAAAAGTCATCTCTGCTCACATCACATCTGCCTCTCTTCTCCCGGAGCAAGAGGCTGAAAGCCTGCCTCTCCCGTGCTCCTGACATCTTGGCTCTGTTAATTGCAATGTTTGCCCGCTGTATTGGTATTCACGTTAGGCCCTGGGAACAGATGGCGATTAACTTTAAATATTATTAACACTTCCCAGCATCCTAAGATCCTGGGTGGCAGTTGTGAGGACGAGCAGACGTGCAGGTGAAATTACCACAATTTCCATTACAGCATCAAACGGCGTAATACAAATTGGGATGATTTTCCCAACTGTCGAAGCTTGTCTGTGTGTGTCTGTGTGTGTGTGTGTGTGTGTGTGTATTCTGAATGTGGTATTTGACTCTATAATGTTCAACCACATGTCAAAAATAAGACGGCCTCTCTTTAATAATATTGAATATGGTTGCTTTTGCTCTGACATGTATCCTAAGTATATCATGTAGTTCTATGACTTGAATTACCTGGTTACAGAATATGTATATATATTTTATAAATAGTAATATTATGTAAATATCATAAATATTACTGTATATTTTATAATTGTAAAATAGTAAGCAGTAAATAATATATGTAGTGAATATTTGTGTTGATCTTAAGTACATACGGTCTGGAAGAGATCCCTCTGAATATTTCACATTTTAGAATATGTTATGTGTGACATTTTTGATGTACTAAATAAGCAATGCCTTTGCAGTAATGTGAAATATTCCCTTAAAATCTACAAAAGACATGTCAAATATTTTATTGATCCACTATGAAAATTATAGGTACACTTTAAGGCTAGAGTGAGTACGAGAGCATGACATACCAAAAATGTCTTATTCAAGAAGGAAAAACGACTCCAAAAAGCCCCGGCGCAGGAGTGCACCCTGCATGGCCTCTCGGTGAATGTGCATTCAGTCTGTCTGAATGTGCTTTGAAACGCCTTTGAAATATATATGACAGCCTATCTGAGCAGGTCTGCAAATGCACTTAACTGTTGGGTGGCAGGAGAGGTGTCAGAGAGGTGGGGTGACGGAGGATGACTTGAAGGCACCACAGAGGAGGGCAGGAGTGAGCGGCAGGGAGAGAGAAGACTGAAACCAGAGGAGAATAAAGGCAAAGCTGTTACTTTTGCATAGTGCAAGTGTAGAGTGGCGGTTTTTTGATGACCGCCATGGGGGGAGCAGACTGATGTGTGTGTGTGTGTGTGCGTGTGTGTGTGTGTGTGTGTGTGTGTGTGTTTGTGTTCATGCAAGAGTGAGTAACTGCATTTCTCTGTTTGAGCATCTTTGTGTTTCTTTGTCTGGTTTTGTGCGAGAGAAAAATACAGAAACATGCTGTTTTACTGTATTTATGTGTCTGTGTGTCTGTGTGAGGGGGCGTTGAGAAAGCAACAGGGGAAGAAAAGAAAAAAAGAATAGTTTACTAGTATGAGAGAAAGAGGGCAATGTTCTCGAGCGTGCACTGACATGTCACATCCTATTTGTCACATTGGAAGGGAGTGCACCGGTAGTCCCTGGTGTCCTGACCCTGCAGTCGGGTGGTGCTGTCGTGCTGTTGCCACACAACAGTCGCCATCTCTGAGATTGTGGGGCTGCAGATCACTGACCCTCAGCAACACTCAGCAACCCCCACTGGCAACGTCCGGAGTGCCCGGGCCCCAGGAACCATCTCCTGCTCATCCCGCACGTACTGAACTCCTGCCCACACCACGGGGAGGCACAGGGTTGTGCGTGCAGGCCTGTCTGTAGCAGGTGTGCAGGAAAAACAGCAAAAAAAAAATCACCACCCGCAACAAAAATTAGCAATCACTTTCAGCTGATTGCTTGGCGGGTACAATGCGGTTATAGCGAGATTAACCGCCACCCACCCGCCCAAATACTGCGGGTCTGGAACCAGCAGAGGTTATTAATCTATGAATGGCGGTGATTGCAGTCTGGCTCCAGGTGAATCATCTGCTCGCTCTGTTCGGTGCTTAACAGGTGCAAGAGTTACTGCTTCAGTTACCCTGGAGACGACTTAAAGCAATTTGAAAGGGCAGACATATCCGCTCCGGGATCTGTTGGGTTTTATTGTAAAGTACGCTGCTGCCGCCACGATAGTGAATGACATTTAGTGACAGATGTGAGTGAGTCTTTGTATTTGTTTCACCATTTGTGAAAATAACACAAATTATGTACAGTCAGCTACAGTGTAGCTTTTGCGGCAATTGCTGCGTGCGAGCAGTCAGGCACGTGTGATGCTAAAAACCCACTGTGACCCTGTGGTGTGCAAATAATACAAACGAGTCAAGGGCAGCTCTAACACATATTGTGCAATGTGCATGCTGGGAGAGGAGGAAGACCCCCCCACACACACACACAGACACACACACACACATTTGAATTTCATTTAACCTACATTTCAGACGTGTGTAATGTGCTAATTTACAGCAATCACAACGTGTAAAGTGTTGTGGGGTTGCGAGTCCTGCAGGGAAGATGACTATTAAAGAACTCAAGGGAATAAAACCTGCATCTTGCAATTCACTGGAACACAGTGGTGCACCAGTAAGTATGGGTTTCAACATCACATGCACAGGACATTAGGGGAATGGACTGGACGACAGGGAATTTAAAAAGCTCCTGCACAGTGTTGTAAAGGTAATAATGCTTGATGATGTTTTTGCAGCGTGTCATCCAAGGTCTTTATTTGAAATGATAAATTCAGAAAAGAAACATTATGACTAAAAACATGAAACATACACAAACCTGTTCATCGTAAAATAAAGATCATGACTACTACAAAATATCAACACAGCAATATATTGTCGTCCTGACTCTTGCTATTAATGATATGCAATTTTCTTTTTTCAATTAGAGAGATATCAGGATGTATTGTTATAAAATTTAATTAGTAATATACAATTATCGCAGAATCGCTGTATCGTGATTTTATCGTCACTGTGTGTGTACTGTATTGTGTCCTATCCTTTAACCTGCGATTCCCACCCCAATACATTTATTTCTGTACAAGCTAACACACTGGTCTGTTGTTTCCATCTCTAGGCTCTGACCCACAAGTCAAAGCAATTACGCAAATAATCCTCTGCAGTTCAGTCCTGTGTGAGACGAACAGACGTGCCAGATACCTTCGCAATTCTAATTGAGAGAATAGAAAGTTAAAAAAAGCATATTGCAGGCAGGCTCGCACCTTTTAGCGATGCCTCCCACTCCAGGCCCCCCTCGCAGGAAACGCCTGCTGTTTGCTGTTTAACTGCTGTTGTTTTGTTCTTCGTGCCGAGTGTCTGCATCAGTTCATTAATGAGGGTGTTTTTTATAAAAACGCAACCTAATCACAAGCAGAAGGTCAAAAGCTGTTTGTGTATTGTGGTGATAGAAATCTCACATGTGCTGTTATCAAACATAGTTTTCATTCATCTAGTAAATACCACAATAATAATTATAACCTCGCATGGAAACACTAGAGTGTGTGTGAAGGTTTTCCATTGTCTTTAATTAGTTATTTTACATAAAGGCAAGAATGCATGTAATTGCAGTGACTCGTTATTGTATCTTTTGTATTTTCAATAGAAGAGATGGAGCTGTTATGTGTTTTCAGAGCCAGGAAGTGTAAAGAACACACATGCAAGAAGAAGAGAAATGCCGACCTGGTTTGGTTTGATTTGATTCGGAGTCTTGTCAGATAAAGTCACCAGAAGTTGGCAGAAATCTGAAACTCCAAAGTGCCATCATCAATATTTTATGTCTACAGCTGAAAAAGACTCTGCATGATGTGAAATGTTTCACTCAAAAAAAGTGATGAACCCACGCAGACCTACGCTGCAGCTCCCTCAGCCCTGCGGAGGGTTTCAACCCAGTGTTTTGGTTTTACAGCTTTCATTACTTTTTCTGGTTCACTCTCCCCGTTCTCACCAGCGTGAAGCAGCAGCGACAGTAGTGAGCTCGAAAACCTCGCAGTGCGCTCACAGTCCAGCACCAAATAACAGAGAAAGTGAACAACGAGCTGATCACAGTGAAATTTTGCACCAAAACAGCCTGATGGAGAAAGTGACGACAGCTAAGTGAGATAATATTGGACTTACAAAGACCCAGTGGCCACAGACACTACTTACAGAGGATCCTAATGCTGCTGGATAACTTCTACTTATTTATGTGTAAGTGATAAATGTCAACTTTATACTCTCAGGTCATAATTTGTCTTTTTTTTAATGATTGATTCTGTTGCCCCCATGTTACCAAAAATAGTTTAACATTTTTTCAAATGCTTACAGAGGCAATAAGTTGAAATTTCAATAAATAAAATAATAATAACACTTATCAATAAGTATTATTGTTATTTATTATGATAATTATATTTATTTAAACCATATTAATGGTGTCTTTCATACTTTAAAAGCAGCTCAACATGCAATGGTTTAACATAAAAGGTATGAAGACATTCAAATAAGCATTAAAACATGAATGTAAAATAAGACAGAAATAAGAACGCTGAATAAAAGTAACAATATGAAGTTAAGATGAGAAAAAAAAAGTTAAAAACATAAACATAAAACTGTTCTCAAAGAAAAAGAAATACATAAAAAGAATTAGGGAATAAAACATTGCGTTTAAAATGAAATTAAAATCTGAAAAGGTTGACAGTTTGGTTTTGAAATCCTGGTTCATTTCTGCATTCGTGAAAAGCAGAAGCATAACACGAAAACTGCTTCAACATTTTATTTTTTACTGGTTTCAATCTCCTGATTTATATCTTTTGTTGGAGAGGAGGAGAACTCTGGTTCATAATTTGACTCCGGAGGAAAAAATGGCAATGATTCCACATAACATCAGCACCATGTCACCAAAATCCATCTTTTGTTATTGTTGTGAGCGACCCCTAGCGTCAGATGACACATTGCATGTTCAAGATGAGGATGTACACATTGAAACTGATATGAATTCTGGCTTTAAACCTATGTATATCGTCCATATAGCTGACATTTCTCCTGCCAATAATTCCATCACTGAGCTGCAGTAACAATCCCCTGTTGGATGATTGACTTGTAATAGTAGCCATGACTCTTAATGTGTCCCTCTGTTTAGGACTTGACTGAATAATTTATGTGTGGGTAAAATGATCAGTTGTAAAGCTTTCAGAATCAAGTGCTATTTCCATTTCTGCAAAAACATCCTTCAGGGGTCACAACCTTTGCCTCGTTGCACAATAGCAGACGAGCAGGACGACGTGTAGGCAAAGAGAGAAAATGATAAAAGAGAGAAAGAGATTCAGGGAGGGAGGAAAGGGAATAAGAAACAAAAGAGAGAGTGACAAAGCAGTAGGAGGTATATGCTGTTTGTCAGCGCAAGGAGAGCGAAATGTCAGCTTTTGTGCTGCATCAGTGAGTGATGGCTGCCATTATCCCACCCAATGGGTATAAGCAGGCAATATTAGCACACTGTTTCCACACCCAGATGAAACAGGCAGAGCTCTCCACAGTGGGGATACCCAGAGCCAGAGTGGAAAATGGAGTGTGTAAGCATGCGAGGCATAAAGATTGTTGGGGGGGGGGGGGAACTGAAATAAAGAGAGAAGAAAGGGAGCAGGTGTCGCCACGCACAAAAGACAATCACAAAAAGGCAGTGGAGTCAAAAACAGAGGGTGAGAGGAAATTAGAACAAAGGAAGTGAGTATCCCTGTTGTTTCAGAAGTTCCTGTAGCGCTTTAAATAAAATAGTCCCTCTCAACGTAGACCGCACGGTGCGATCTGACATCCATTGAACAAAGTGGCTGAGGCAGATATGGTGGTTTGGGGCACTGAGGTGGGATGCACACAATGAGAATTGTAATTATAGAACAAGCACACCTCACTAGCTGGCTTCACACGGAGGGGAACTACCTGTAATTGTTTCAGCAGTATGAATGGTGTGTGTGTGTGAGAGAGAGAGAGAGAGGTTCATAAGTGGTTATATGTAAATGATGTGGACTAGAATTCAATACACTAACATGCAGTGAAACCTGTAATCATCTGCCTCTTTGGGCTGAATATTTGTGTCCTGGTTCCTCTTGTGCTCGTATCATTTTGGAATGAAACTCAGCCCTCGGTACCACATCA